GACTGCTTGACGTCTGAAAGATGCCAATTGAGCTGAGCACAGGCTATGAGAAAATAATTCTCTTGAATATAAAGGTAAGTGCATGGCAGGCTACTTGCCAAAGGAACAAAACAAAGGCGTCTACACCAGAACTAGCCATTTCTGACGCTGGTCTTGTTCTTTTTTTTGCAGCAGTTATCAATTTCAGGTTGTCTTGGGTCACGTGCTCAGCACCACTGACCTCTGCCCTTCGCCCCAGAATTCATATGAGTCAAAGAGCAAGAATTGGGGAGCGAGGGGCAGAGGTCAGCAGATGGCACAAGTACCAGGTGGCTGTCCTTACCGTCTGTCTGCGTGCTGGGCATGCAGCAACTAATATGAGGCACTGCAGCTTCAGTTATTTCTCATCGACTGAAAAACGAAGGGACAGCGGAAAAAGGCATGGAGCAACCAGCCACCCCACCAACACTGAACCAAGTACAATGGTTGACGTGACCAGGCACCTGTACAGACCACCTCAGAGGCCACCTTGTTTCTGGCAGACACTATAGGACCGAAAACACACTCAATTCACAGCTTCACATAAGGCAGGACAGGAAAAGACCACTGCAGTCAATCTAGCAAATACCAATGTTTCATACTACATCCAACACACATACACCTCAACAACAACAACAACAACAAGATTCCATTTATAGAGCGCCTTTCACGTCAGGAGGACGTCCCAAGGCGCTGCACAGTTGGGTCATGACCCGAGCAGGGGGGAAATGGTCAGGATGAGGGGAGGGAAGGGAGGGAGAGAGGAGGGGGGAAATGGTCAGGGTGAGGGGAGGGAAGGGAGGGAGCGAGGAGGAGGAAGAGAGTCGAGAGGGGAGCTGAAGGCACGGTCAAAGAGAAAATAATAATCCTTGCATTTGATATAGCGCTTTTCACGTCGGGAGGACGTCCCAAAGCGCTTCACAGAATATACTGTAAAGTGAGTTGACTGTATATTTGTGGGCGAACGCGGCAGCCAATTGCGCACAGCAATGTCCCACAAACAGTTATAGATTGAAAATGACCAATTTAATTATTGTTTTTGTTTTTTGGAGGGATTATTATTAGGCTCTGTGTGGAGTAAGGAAACTTGCCCAAGGTTTCGCCCTGCCTGGAATTGAACTCAGGTCTCTCGCTTGCAAAGCGAGTGCTCTAACCTCATCCCCTCGATAACCTCACCTCAACCCCCAATAACTACACTCCATACATGGTTCCATGAATTAATAAAGTTATAGAGTTTCATTTCATTCAGCACTGGAGATTAACATCTCACTATATTTGCACTGGTAAATCACTGAAGCAGCCTTCACATGGAGCAGCCTCCATATAGTGCAGTGAAGCATTTTACAGAAATATAGTGCAGGCCTGAGCAAGGTAAGGGAAACAGAGGACTGGGAGCTAAATTAACACAGGTGCAGTTGAAGAAGTGGATTTTTTGGAGAGTTATGCAGGCAGAGGGAGAATGCAAGAGGCAGGAGGATTCTGGTAGAGCTGCAGAGAACGGGGGTGATCATGAATAAAAGCTTAGGCACTGAGAACCTGCATTCAGATGTAGAGATCCAGGCGGATGGAGGCTTGGTTCACAAGGTTCGACTATTAAAATACCAAGGGTCCCAGGAGGGAAGCAGTTTTCCACACATCGAGTGCCAGGTTAACATTGTTGTAAGACACAGCAATCACTTCTCACCAGGGAAGCTCACAGAAGTGCTTATTTAACCCTGTCACATGCTGGCTGATTTCTCCAGAGGTGCACATTACCGTCTTATTGTTTCATACAGAAGGTTCCTCAAGGTTTATTCATTAACACATGGTGCGATGACAACGGTGCTGCTCAATACAATTTCACAGTCTGCTGTACCCTCCCTTCTCTGCTTCTCTTTTCCTCTCCTTCTATCTCTACCCTGCACTCCCCACTTATTTGCTCTATCACCCTTAGACCTAACCCTACTCACTGGATTTTCTTTTCAATCACACACTCCCTTTGTCTAGCGCTCACATTCAACTTTGCCAAAAAAAGCTCTTCTGATGTAACATTTACAGTATATTCTGTGAAGCGCTTTGAAAGGTTTCAATGACGTCATAAGGTGCTTTATCAAATGCAAGGATTATTATTATTATCCACTTGTTAAAATGCTGCTGGGAAGTGTCGAGTTGAGCTGAACTTTCAGTTTCTGGTAGAAAGATCTAACTGGAAGACGCACCTGTTAAATGGTTTGATACCGAGCCTGTGATCAGCTCATCACTTTTTTAAATGTTACTGATTATTAATTCATTTTAAAATGATACACACAGGACAGAAAAACAACTTGAATTTATATAGATTTTCTAAATAGGATAACGTCATGTTATCTCATGCTGCACAGTGAGGGGGTTGGATGCCGAACAAGGTAGAAGGAGGAGGGGAAAATCACAATAACACTGCATACTTTTGTCTCCACATTTTTCTGGAAGGAGAGAAGTCTGTAATGCATTTTGAGCATGGCTTTTTCCAATATTTCTCTGTGTATCGCTATTTATGCAACTCATTATTCTGATGTACAGCACATAATGGTGGGCTGATCCTATCTTTTGCTTATACTGTACTTGCAGGAGCAAACATCTGAGCTGTGAATCTGCTGTAATACAATATGGCTCAGGGTATGCATATAGTTCAGAAGGGTGATATTATAGATAATACTTGCATTTGATATAGCACCTTATCACATCATAAAAATACCTCCAAGTGCTTCACAGGATTTAATGTAATGTGCAGTGATTGCAAATTTGTAGACCAACATGACAGCCAACTTAGTACACAGTGCAAATGTCCCACAAATCAAGTAAATTACCATTTTTATTTGGGGGAAATGACTGGAGGGTCAGCCGAGACTATGAGCTCAATATCCTGACATGGGGCTTCAACTCACTAGTTCCTGGCTCCGACGTGAGACTGCTGCCAACTGAGCCAGGCTGACACCTAAATATATTAACCCTATTATTATATGAATAAAAATAAAGACTTTAATTCTTACAAAATTCACACATCTCAATTTACAAAATACCCCTATTAAAAATAAAGTGGGCTTGGTAGAGAGGTAAACACGGAGCTATTTTGTGGCCAAAGTCACATGAACGATGAGATGAGCATACAATTAACTTGAGTTTGTGGGGGCATTTGGATTTGGAGGGGAATAGAAAATAGGATAATAGTGAGAAAGATTCCACTTTTTTTGAGTTAGCGATGGCAGGAAAAATGGTTTGAGTGCATGGTTTGAGTCACTAAATTGCCTGTGTTTATTTCTATAAATCTCGATATACAAGAGACTAAGGGTCGACTTTGGGTCGTGGTCGGAAAAAACAACAAATTTAAATATCTAAATTATATAATATCTCAGGATACAATATATAGTTTGGGAAACAACATGTCATGCGACTGCCAGGATGGTGGAAGGTGAACTGGATGGACCTTGGTCTTCTTTCCCCTAGCAAATTCTTATGTTCTAAAACTTTGGGCGGAAAAGGCACAAAAGCAACAAATAAAATGCATCCTAAAAAAAATCCCACAGGACGCAGCAAAAGATCAGCGTCCCATGTTTCAATCCTTTGTACTGTTTTGCTGCATTCTTCTAGAAATAACCAGAATAATGCAGTGAGTAAGTGAAAGAACTTGTGTTTTTATAGCTCCCAATCACATCAAAACATTTCAAAGCCTCACAGCGGCTCTACTTCAACAAACATGGCAGCCATTTTCTGCGCAACAATGTCCCAAAACCAACCATGAAGTGGACGAACAATTTATCCAGAAACTCTAGCAGAAACTCCCTTCTCTTTTCGAATAGTGCCATAAGATCATTAATGCCCAATTTAAGAACAGGCAGACGGAATCTCGGTTTAAGAACTCACATGAAGGACGGCACCTGTGACAATGCAGCAATCTGCTGGAACTTTAGTCCAGACTCTGTGATCAGCTCATCCCAAGATGTGGCTTAAACTCACAACCTTCCGACCTAAAGCTGAAATTTCTACAAATTTCTACAAGTTGACATCTATCAGTTCAGAATTAAAGTACAGCTATTCATGGCCTCAGTGCCAGTTTTGTTCAATCGTTTCCTCAAACTATCAGACTAAATTCAAAACTACTGTATAAACTAATGCGGCTCTGGTCCTCTGTTTCCTTTAACAACTACATGAAACTCCCTGGTTCCTACATGAAGCCCATTAAGCAGGAGCTGCTGTAGATGAAGCAGGGCTTTAAATGGGAAGTGCATGGGTTGAAAGGGAATATAGTAACTTTCCGTTTGGATAATAAAAGATAAAACAGAGCTGTCAGCTTCAAGCACTGTCTGAATTTTCAGTCCACTGATGGGAAACAGTCCTCGTGTTTAATCCTATGAGCACCAAGTGCATGTTACTGCTTTTGTTTTTTTTTAAAAATCCTGCTTCTTTCGCCATCACTCTCAAACCATCAGCAAAACCCATTTGGTGCAAATCTGTAATGCTTAACGTTCAATAAGGCAGAGTTACAGACGGGTAACAAACCACACAGTAACTAGTCATTAATGGTACTAAAAGCAAACCAATACAAATTGCCACTTGCTCTCTATAATCCTTGTTGGAGGGGGGAGGGGACTGGGAGAGGGGGGGCTGGTGGGGAGGGGGGATGGGGCCGGGGGAGGGGGTGAATGCAAGGGGGCGTGGGACGAGGGCTTTAATTTTAGACGTTAAAACCTCTCTGCGGATCCTCTATCTCAATTAGCTGACGTAGAATTTAAAATATTGAAAAGCGATCGCTAAATTGTCTTAACCTCAGTTTACATCATAGCCCAAAATATTTCAGTGTAATAGGTTGTGATCAACATTTTTCATGTTATTCTGCAATGGCAAGCAAATTCTATTTCTATAATCTTGATGTACGGCACATCAAACTGGCAGACCGATTTACTCTTGCTGTATGAAAGCCTAAGGCAATTTAACACCCACAGACTCCATCAAAAGCCCATACTTACTATGCCAGCTTGTAAGCGATATCAATTTTCAGCCATCACAATCTGGTAACCACGGCAGCAGGAGACACTGGCAAACACAAGGGTGAACCGAGTAAAGCATCAGCAGCTTCATCAAACAAGGGAGCCCAGTAAATAACAGCTCACACTCCCCGATAACACACTGTCCTCCTGCCTCATGCAAGCCATCTTTCTAATGCAGACAGATCACCAGCAATACCTAAATTCAGCAGCAATTTAGCTGCCCGAATGTTTCAGTGAGAAGAGTGCAGCTCAGCACTGAGGTATCTCATCAGACAGACAGACTCACACACAAACACACACACATACACAGACACACACAAATACAGGACCAAATGCATCCAGCAACTGTATTTAGTCTCTAGATTTCCTCTGCCACTCATATTGCGAATAAAACATTGGATAGAAAGGCCGGGCTAGCTAAGGGTAATCGATTCTCATCTAAGCACAAGTTTCGTGCTGAGGCCGTGCAGGTTTGTGGAGAGGTTTTATTATAATGATGTTTAAACTGGATGAAGTCCACTGCAGTCCCCCTCTGGGCCTAGCGATGTCTGATAAAATGCACATTCATGCATTATTTGCCAAAAAAGAATCGCTGTCCTAATCTTCGAGCAATGTCTGGATTCTGTTATAAATGCGACCATTTCATTCCCAGGGCCAGAATTTATTGTCACTTACTAGAAAGGCCTTCTTTCTGTCATTGTTTCCCCCGAGACGAACGCATCGGTTACAAGAATCACCTCGAATCACATATATAGATTTCCCCATCACAGTCACGGACACAGCCATGGGGATATTCAGAATCGGCCTCGCACAGAATTAGATTCTAACAAGAGCAGGGTTTCATTGTGTGAAGTGTCTTAGCCTATAGCCTGGACACTGCACGGTGAAACAAAGCTCCAGCTTGAAGCGAAAGATGCTACTTAAATCGGCAAATTGGTCAATTGTGGTGATGTACTTACATGAAGACTCGGTGCCGAACATGGCCGGTTCAGATGCCGCAAAAAAGATGAGGCAGCTACACAGCGGGGGTCATGAAGCCAGACAATGAGCTAGTGCTCTGCGGATGCCAGCTGCCTTGTTCAAGTCTGAAAGATGAAGCGCTAAACAGCGGCCCTCAGCAGAACACTGCTTATCCTTTTCCTTGCAAGTGAAAGCCAAAGCTTGCGTTGAAATTCAGCAGCAGCGAATCTGAAGCGATTCCTTCCCTTGGTGCAGTAAGCCCGAGTGAGGAGCTGAGACCAGGCGCTGCAACACACACAGTGCAGCTCAGAGTAAGACAATAGCACAGGCTGCATACATTGGGTGACGTCAAAGGCACTTACTGCAAAGACTCATTCCTGCTAACCAGGACTGGCAGCAGAACGAATGAATGGGAGAGGGGTTTCAGAAGGGAGTCTTTTGTTGCAGAATGCAAAGCCCACATATTCCTCCCAAGGAACCTTTGCACCACCGGAGACAACTTGAACTTTGTATTTTGTCACTAATACACCCACCCTGCAAATAGAGACTGCAATTTGAAGCAACATATACAAACATTAACATTTAACGTTAACATTTAAGAGAAGAACCTGCATGAAGACAGCAACCCACAACTGTAAGAGTTTCAAAGCTCCTTTTCAAAAGAGGCATTCCTGTCACTTTTACAATGTGCACATCATTTTATAAAATAGCAAAGCAAATACTTTTCTTTCTACAAAAGAAAGCAATTCCAAGATTTCATATCAGTTGATTTTAAAAAGGTTAATCTCTTTCCTCAGACAGGAACAATAAGAGCGTTTTACTTACTTCAACTCTAATAGATAAGCAGCTAAACTGAACGAACGGCTTGCAAAGAGGCTTCACAGCTCACGTACGCAATGTGGAGCTGCTAAACATACTACTAAGTGAGCATAACACAAAAATACATGACACCAAAATGCACTTCTGCAAAAAAAAAAGGCCTGCTCAGAACGCAGGAATGAGGTTTACATATTGAATCTAAAGTGACACAACCCATGTTTATTCGAATCAATGCTTCTAAACAAGATATTATTGTATCAGAGGAATTCCCATGTGTAAGTGGGATCCATAGAAATCTGTCTGGTTTGGACACTTTGAAGCTGGCCAGTTGTTGGTCTCTGGAACATGACAGGTCTCAGGGGTCAGACATAATAGGACACTCAGGGGGTACAACAACAACTTCCACTTACATCTCAAATCTAATTAATAAGGCATTAAATACAATTAACACCGAGAAGAAACAAGGGCAACACAGAGAGGATTTAAGAGACTTTATGAACCAGGACCCCTGGATTAGAAGCTAGATCACAGCATGCCATAACCCACTGCATTTATGTGAGAGATGCACTGAAGCAGGCAATTGAGGATAAAATAATGAATTAGAAATGTATCAGCCTGGCTCAGCCGGTTGTTTTCTTGCCTCTAAGTCAGAAGGCTGTTAGTTCAATCTCCAAATCGAGTCTTTGGCTCTAGTTCAGGCTGATTTGGCTCAAAATACAAGTCCTTTCTTTCTGTTGCATTACCAATGTCCTTACATCCACTACAGAAGCTTCACTTAGACCTTCACACCTGAATGCGGGTGATTTTTCAGCATCTTCAACCAATTGATCCTTAATACCCACCATCTCATCACTACCTCCAGGGAGTTTAATATCAGAAGCCAAAACAACTGGCTTGCATAGGATCACAAGTGTGTGGTGGACATGCCATTGAATAACAAGACTGTGTCCTTCTCACCTTCTAAGCTTAGTTGGAGGTTAGTTAATGAACATTTCATTACTTGAAACATTGCTTGGACACAATTAACTTGATATAATAATAATAATCCTTGCATTTGATATAGCGCTTTTCACGTCTTCTAGACATCTCAAAGCGCTTCACAGAATATGCTGTAAAGTGAATTGACTGTATATTTGTGGGCGAAACGCGGCAGCCAATTGCACACAGCAGTGTCCCACAAACAGTCGTGGATTGAAAATGACCAATTTATTATTGTTTTGTTTTGGAGGGATTATTATTGGGCGCGTGGAGTAAGGAAACTTGCCCAAGGTTTCGCCTTGCCTGGATATCCCTTGTCCCAGAGTTGGCCTGTGTTGGTGGAATGCATTGAACATTGGGAAAAGGGGGTATATTTCCAACACAAAGTTGTTGTTTGTGGTACTTCAGCCTCTGAGTCAGAAGATGGTGATTTCAAGCCCCTTTAATGATTCTTTAAACTCACAGTCTAGGCTGACACTCCAGGGCAGTGTCGGGGTAGGGGGCGATGCTGCATTGCTGTCTTTTAGATGAGACGCCAAACCAAAGTCCTGTCTGCCTGTTCAGCTGGACATTAAAATTAAAAGAGAAGGGAGTTACTCCTGGTTCCTCCTGGCCAACAATCCCCCAAATAAAATTAATCATTCACTTCATGGCTACTTGTAGGACATTGCAATACGCAAATTGGTTGCTGTATTCACCTACAAAACACCCACTCAATGCACTGGGTGAATCCTGTAAAGTGCCTTGGGACATCCTCCCGACACCATCTTTCAACCCACCCCCAGCTTGGAGTTGGTCTCATAACATTATGAGGGAGGGACCAGGAAACATTAATGATGAAATGCACATTTTCAAATCTAGAGAAGATAATGGAATTAAAAGATCTGCCAAGATTCAAAAAACTGGTGGAACAAGACCGATGAGCTGGATGGCCTCCCCTTGCTTCTGTTTTCCTATGTTTCTACACTGGACTATGAACAATGAACAGCATGTGGGGGTGGACAGAATACAATAGCAAAGCTATGTGTGAGATACAGAGCTTGCCCTTACCTAGAGCCTTAGGAAAATCTTAGACAATAGTTAGAAGCACAACATGTAGCTTAGACTACGAATCCAGAAATAAGACTTGCAATTAAATTTAACAAGACAAGAGAGATTTGAAAGAATTTCGAGACTCGGTGCAGTGGACGTTGGAAACAGATTACAGATTCCCCATGTGGAGCGCTTTATACCTCTGTGTTGAATAACTGGTACAAAGAGAAATAGACACGAATCTGCTTGTGAACAGCATTTAGAGGCGCTAAAACTGCAGAGTTCCAAATCTAGCCTCACAAGTCACCAATCATATCACCAATCATATACAGGTTAGCCAGATGCCCTTGAAATGCAGCCAGTATTTGATTACCTTTGTTGACAGTAGCTTCACATCGACAGGAAACCTTCAGCAAAGGATCAATAGTCACATCCAAATCCCTTTCCTCCTCTGCCTCTGCTAACGCCCCACCCCCACCCCATTTCACTATATACGTTTGCAGCCCTAATATGTATTGCTTTATTTTTATCTACATTAAAATCCATCTCTCGCTGCTGAAATAATCCAGAATGTCCTGACGATATTTATCCTGCTATTTCAGCGCCTTGGGACGTCCTCCCGACATGAAAGGCTCTATACAAATGTAACCTTGTTGTTGTTGTCGTTCTCTCTCACGTAGCAATGGTATTATTGGCCAATCCTATTCTGATAGACTTTAAAACGGACGGAGGTCGCCTTCTGCGATAAGAATTTCTATGTATGATACGTTCATCTTCACATAATTTCTGAATAGTGCGGACCCAGAACAGACCCCAAACAAAGGAACATTTTTTTATTTATCAATCACTTTCACGCCTACAACCACGTCCTCCTCCCCAAGCCCCTCTCTTTCTCCCTCCCCCACTCCCTTGCTTGGTATCTGTTCTAGTTCTTTGTGAAGTGCAGCTCCCTGAGACATTACCCTACGTGAAGGGTTCTATATAAATGCAAGTTGTTGTTGCTTGCCATTATTAAGACAGTGTGCAATTGAGATAGATAGTTACAGTATATTCAATGAGGGGGTAAAAAGAAGTTAGGAACAAAGAGAAATAAAGTGAGGGAATATAGATTGTCATCTTCCCATTTGGTATTAGAATAAAAACACAACAGCTGTATCCCTCGATGACAAACAAATAAACAGTACAATGTATTCACACTGGAGATAAACAGCTCTGCTTACCCAATGTCAGTTAGGATCTTCTTGGCAATTGCTGGACAGTATTTAAATGCACGGCAAACAGGAAAACCATCACAGGATCCACAAAACGATGTCCACTTAATCTGAGCCTGCAGCAGGGCAATGTGCAGCCCAAAATAGTTCAAGTGCAAATGTTGACAAACTGATATCGGGATATGCTGTATATTGATTTCAGTGAAGAATTACATTCTCGTGTCCGCCCATTTTGAAACTCATATCCTCCACTCCGCCAATTGTAACGTGAGCATTCATTTATCCCCATGGTCTAACTAGTGACATTTCTTAATGGGTAAGGAATTTCAACGGCAGTCCCACCAGATCTATAGCAAAGCCGGCCCAAAATTGATTGTGTCGGATTGAAGTTACCACGGGTCGGAATGACACACTTGTAGTGGCTCGGATTCCTTACTAAGGAATTCCATTAAGAAATCCTGCAAGATAGACTTTTTCCACCCCCCTCCCTCCCATATCTCAAAGTCTGCACAGATTGGTATTATAGATAACTCACAAATACGGTCAATGTACAGTGTTAGATTTTGAGTAATAGGTTTCTAAATAACCAATATCTTTATGAAGGGAATGAAGGAAATGGTTTCCTAATTGTCAGATAATGATACAACAACAACAAAATTACATTTGTTTAGCGCCTTTCACATCAGGAAAACGTCCCAAGGAGCTGGAGAGTCAGTGTTTCGTACCCGAGCTGGGGGTTGGGATTGGGGAGAGTGGAAGGCAGGGGGCGGGTAAGGAGGGTGATCGAAAACACGGTCGAAGAGGAGGGTCTTGAGATGGGGCTTGAAGGATGCAAAGGATAGGGCGAGGTGGAGGGACTGCGGGATGGAGTTCCAGAGAGTAGGGGCAGAGTGGCAGAAAGCCCGCCAGCCTAAGTTGTGCAGGCGGTGACGGGAGCCAATCAGGAAAGTTCGGTCTTGTTGACGTTCAAATGAAGAAAGTTAACTCTCGTCCAGGACTTGATATCTGACAGACATTCTGACAGGACAACAGTGGTTCTGGCGTCAAGGGTGGAGGCAGAGAGGTAAAGTTGGGTGTCATCTGCATACATGTGGAAGTTGACCCCATGTTTGCAGATGATATCACCAAGAGGGAGCATGTAGATATTGAAAAGGAGGGGACCAAGAAAAGAGAAAGAAATTTCTCTTTCCCAATGCCCTTGCCATTAATCCCCCAGATAAAATTGGTCACTCAATCATTGGCTGT